GCGGGGATCGCTGCTCCTTGCGTCGTCGAGCTGGTGCTCTTCTGGCTCGGTATCGTTTAATGAATCCCCATCCTCATCCCCATCCCCTTCGAGACCCCCACCAAATTGCCACCCCAGTCGGGGATACATCCCTCGAGACCCGAAGGGGACGGCCCATATCTTCATCTAGGGGGGTAAATCGGCCAGAGGGGCCCAGGCCACGCCGCTGGGGATGGGGATCGGTTAAACGATACTCATCTGGCCCTCCAAGTGCACCCGGGCTTTTCTGGAGCACCGGGGCTCCTCTGGTGCCAGAGGGGGGCTTCGCTCCTGGTCTGGCGTTCCTTACTTCGGCAGGTCTTGACTGCCTCGGGCGGCTGGCTTCTGGCGCCTGGTCGGGGCCCCCAGTCGCAGTCTGCTTGCGCGACTGGCACAGGCAGATCGACTGAGCACCGGCCCAGGCTCGCCCCCCCCGAGCCCGCCTCCCCTCTCGCCCACACCCCTCGGCCACGTGTCGAAACCCAGAATGCTGTGGGGGCGCGCATCAAGAAATCGTCAGGGTATCCTGGTTTCTTCGCTCCTCGCGCTGAGGTGAAGGAGCTGCTGCGTTCAGGGTGCTCCAGGTTTCCCCTCAGGTGCACCTCGCGCACGGGTTCTCAGGGTTGGGCCGCGCCCGCACTGTACGGTCAACCCGCATAATAAGGATGGGCATCCTTCCCAAGGGTACCCTTGCATCCTGCCCCTTCGGCCCATCCTTGGCCGCTGTCGCTGGCCGCGCCCCGCTCGAAAAGCCTCGAAATGGCCTTCCGTGGCCCTTGCATCCTTGTCGCGCGTCCTTATTATACGGGTTAACTGCACAAAAAGCGCTTTCGCAATACTGTGTGTGCGTCGCCCCCAATGCGTCGACGCGCGGGCCGAGAAATCTCACAGTGTAAGCTATGTGGCGGGCGCTTTCTGGCCACACCGCTCGGGAAACGACATTCTCATAACTATACTAAAAGATTTGTGTGCGATGTGTTCGGGTCGGACGCAGGCCTCGAGGAGGACAAGCTGTCCTAACTAGTATGCCCTTGTGCATCTCATCGGGGTGCCTTCCAGCAGCCCCGAACAGCCTCCCGAGAGCTGCGTTATGGCGCGAAAGCCGAGGGCATTGTTGGGCGGGGATGCGCTCAGGGGGGAGGCATCGACTTGGACGGGACTAGGACGAGGATCTATCCTCACCCGATTTTATCCTCGCTCTTTTCTTCATCTTATCAATCCCCAGTCGTCCACTCGTGGCCGATGGGAGGCAGCCCACCGCGCGCAGGAGCGTGCGGTTCCGCCATCGAGGGCATGTCGCCGGTCTATGGGCGATGCATCGCCGACTCGAGCTCGAGGCTTCCCCTCCTGAGCTGGACCGCCCCCTGTCGCTCCCCCTCGCCCCAGGCACGTCCGGCACCTCGAAAACAATCGAGGCTTGGGCGTCGCGCAATGGAAGGGCGATGCACGGGGGGGGCTGGGGCAGCGATGGCTGCAGAAAAGTGGCCCTTGAGGGCCCCTGAAGGGGCTCTTTAGGGCCCGAGAGGAGGGCCTTTAGGGACCAACATGTGACCTTGCCCTCCCTCCCTCCACTTATCGCCCCCTTTCCATTAAGCGACGCCAAAGAGGCGGCTGGCCTGGCGTCATCGTATGAGCCCCCTGGGGGCTGGCCTCACATCTGCCCGGTGCCACGGCGCCAGCCTGCGACCGCCGGCGACAGCTGCAGGTCCAATGCGCGATATCCGATGCCTGGGGGCCAGTCTCGGGCTTCGGGCGTCAGAAATGAGGTCGGGGACGGAGGGCCGGCGTGTGAGCTGGGAATCCCAGGGCGGAGCGTTGTTAGAACCCCCATCTGGCTACGGTAGGTCGACTAGCGCATTGCCCCTCTTCGGTTCTCGAGAGGGCGATGCCGCCGCAGCTTCTGCGGGCCCCGCGCCCAGGGGGCCTGGCCCCGGGCCGTCGTCGACCGAGGCTGCTCTGCGGAAGGGGGCTCCGTCCATCCCCGCGAGCAGGACGTGGCAAGCCAGGGCGTGGAGTCAGAGCTCCAGCTGGAGGGAACGGAGACCGGCGGAGGCCTCGGCCCACGGCTGCAGCTGTCTCGGGCGCGCCCTGGCTCGTCCAGGCCCCCGACGCCTACGACGGGGCCGTGAGAGGCGAGAGGCCCCCTGGGTCCTCGCGTCGAACAGATCGGAGCGCCGGACGTCCGGGCCCGTGGACCAGCCATGACGAGCAGGAGCAGCGCTGCGGGGGGTCGGGCTCGGGGGGGGGGACGCAGCAACCTCCGATTCGCCCACTCGTGACCGATGGGGGCCCGAGAGCCCGCCCCGCCCAGGAGCGCGTGCGGTTCTGCCACCGCCATCGTGCGCCCGTCGCCGACCTATCGGCGACACATCGCCGATGCCAGGGCGATGTCCCCCCCCCCCCCGAAGCCAGTCCCCCCCACCGTTGCCCTTCGTGCACAGTGGAAACCCATGCCACGAAACACCCTGCTTGCCTCCAGGGGGCCCTGGATGTCTTGGGTGTCGGTGGTGTTGCTATGGAAAGCATGACGCTTCCACACCAGAAGTCAACAGAAGTCCTGGGGGTCCATGGTTGGGTGTCTTGTGTAGGGTTTCTTGTGGTCGAGCTCCCACTGCAATGCTGTGCCTCTTTGGCGCCCGGGCACCTTCGCCACCGCCTCTGACCAGGGCCATCCTGGGCCCCCGGGGGGCGGTGCGGCTGGCCTCCCGCCCCCCCCGGCGGGAGGGCACGTGCACCGTGCCAGGGCGCAGGCTCTGGCCCTTCTGCTTGTGTGTTGCGCCTGGGCTTCGGCATCGTCCGTCCTCCTCTGCAGCCTGCTCCCTCCTCGACCTCCTGGCCATCCTCGTCCATCCTCCCTCGCCCCTCCTCCTGCACATCCTCCGTCTCCTCCTTCTCTTCCTCCTCCCTCTCCCTCCGCCGCCTTCCCTCTCCGTCCACTCCCCATCGTTCCCTCTCTCATCCCCTCTCTCACCCTCTCTCTTGTGGGGGTGTGGGGGGGGGACCAGGGCGCGGAAAAGCAAGCGCAGGCGCATGTATTCCAAGTTGCTTGGGCCAACGGGCGTGGGGGTTCGCGCCTACGGGGTGGATTGAACGTCCCGCGTGCCGCGCTGGGGGGGGGTCTCCAGGATCTCGTGTTTTGCGCGGTCATTCCGATGCGCGCGAGGGGGCCAGGATGGTCGGGTCGGACGAAAGGGGAGAGGGCAGGGAGAGGCTGGGGTGCCAGAATTGCTGCGTGCAGCTGCTTCCGGCCCCGCCGCCAGGCACGTCCCTCGACGCACGGTTGCTCCTGGCGCGCCGGGGAAACCAGCTACGTGTACGCTCCCCCCTCTTTTTTTATTGCGGGCTCTTCCGAAAAGAATTGCCCCAGCCAAGGTTGGGACGGGCGGGTTGGCCAGAGCGTTGGCCAGCGAGTTGCCAAGAGGGTCGGCCAGTAGGCTTGCCGTGGTGGTTCCTCAACGAACCATGGCGTGCAATGAGCCGTCCTCTCGTCCGACCCGAGATGAGCCGTCGGAGGGTATGGCACGGACGTTTCGCATTCCGCGAGCGAGTCCGCGGTTGCGCGTGCCGTGCTCGCCAGATTTTCGCGAGCCCGTCGGATGCACACGCGCCGTGTCGTGCCGTGTGCGCGGTGCCGCGTCAGTGCCGTGCCGTGCAGAGCGTTTTGTGGTTCCGTCGGGTGCGTGCCGTGGTGTGTTGTGTTGCGGTGTGCCGTTTGCTGTGCCGCGGCGAGCGCAGGGGAGGGCAGGCGAGGGCAGAGGCCAGCGCAGGCGGTCTGGTTGACGGCGCGGGGTGTTCCAGAGCACGCTCGCGCGAAACGCTGTGGTTGCGCCAATGACAGGTGCATCTCTTGCAGGTGCTGTGCGTGGTCCGTGGTCCGAAGCATCGTGGGAGGGCCCTGCCAAGATCCCACAAGGGCCCCGCCACGACCATACGGGGTCCTTGGCCGGACTCTACCAGGAGCCTACTCTGATCATCAGACTTTTTGCCAGGATCTTGCCAGGGCCTTGGCAGTTCTCTCACACAGTATCCTACTGGGACTCTGCCAGCTCCCTGCAACGGCCGCGCCAGGACCTTACCAGGAAAGGTGTGCCGTTGCACGTGTTTGTTGTATGTTGCATGGCCACGCAGTAGAGGTGTTACACAGTTGCATTAGCATGCGTCAGTGAGATATACGCGAACGTAGGACCCCAAGGGTTAAGAGGGATTCGTTAGACACTCGGGTCACGGTTGCGGTCAGAGCCCTCCCCGATTTCCGTTTGGCGCTTGGCGTTTAACGGTGTGTTGTAAAGGTCGGGTTGATTTGGGCTGGCTTGGGGGGGGGTCTCGAGCCGTCTTGAAGTGGTTTTTGGCCATCTAGGCGCCGTCCTCAGCCCGTCAGGAGAACCGTCTGGAAAGATGGCGTCCGAAGGCCTCTCGTGGAGGCCGTCGTGGGCCACCCGTGGCCGTGAGTGAGGCTGCGCAACAGCATGTCTCAGCTCTCTGAGGCACCCCTGGGCTCTGTCAGAAGGCCCGTGAGACCGAGCCGCCGCGCTCGAGGCTAATCGAGCTCTCCGAGCACGGCCGCCGAGCGCAGGACGGAAACGAGCGGCGGTGGCCGGCAGCCCGCCCTCGCGCGGAGCAGACCGCTTCCCAGGGCGCGCTGAACCGAGCTGGACTCTGGCCGGCGGCGCTTCGAGGGGGTAAGGGGGAGGGGACAGACGGCGGAGCTTCTCAGAAGCCCTCCGGCCTTTGAGAGCCTTCGTGGAAGGCTCAGACAGCTTCCCAGAGGGCTGCAGCCCTTCCGAAAAGCCCGCATGTTGCTTCGGGGAAGGCGAAGGAAGCTTCTTCTCAGGAGGCCAGAGGCCTCCTGAGCCTTCTGAGGAGGCCCGCCCCTCGACTCGGTCAACTTGCTTGGCATCTCCGATTCTCGAACTGGTGACCCGAAGCGTCGAAACTACTGGTGTCGCTTTGGCGTGCGGCGGATGTTGGGCCGCCCACGCCAGTTTGGCTCGAGTGCCGCGCAGGCGCGCCTGCTGCCTGCCCCGCACGCCGCCATGTCGCCGCTGCGCGCGGCGCTGATCGCCGCGCGCCCGTGCCCGCACAGGGGCCACGCGGGCGAGCGCGACGGCCGCCCGGCGCGCACCGCCCAGCGCAGGCGCTCCGGCCTTCCCTGATGCGGCCATTTGCGCAAGCGCGGCCTTTCGCCAGAGTGACCTTTGGGGCGGGCACGCTGGGGTCCCCGGGTAGGCCGAGGGTGGCCCTAGGGGGTAGGCCGAGGCGTAGGCCTAGAGTAGGCCTAGGGGGAAGGCCTAGGCGTAGGCCTGGGGGGAAGGCCTAGGGGGAAGGCCTAGGCGTAGGCCTAGGGTAGGCCTAGGGGGCAGGCCTAAGGGTAGGCCCAGGGTCGGCCTAGGGGATGGCTGAACGCGATTTTACAGCAGCGGCTGACGCGCTCCGATTCGGCCTCCCTGCGGCCCCGAACGTCGGGCACCAAAGGTCACTCTTGCCTAGGGGCAGCCTTACGTGGAGGTCCGAGAGGTTCGAGGATCGAGGTTTTCCTGCATTAGCGTCGGCATTCGGCGGCTTTCCAGCCTCGGGGTGCGTTCCAGCAGCTGTGCCTTGCCGAGAGCGAGCGTTCCGGTGGGGGCCGAGATCGTGCCGCGACCAGTTGCCAGAGACCCGAGTGATGGCCCGCTCACCGCGGGGGTCCAGCGCCGATCCAAGGAATCCGCGCGGATCATCGAGAACTTGTCTTGATGCCATGTTTATTCCTTTATCACTGGCCCTCCCAGATGGGGTCTGGGTAAATGGGGTCAGAGGATCGCCCCGCACCGCCGATGCGGCTCGATGTGCAGCCCGAGTTTCTCCACGCCGACATCGCCAACGCATCGCCGATGTCGACGATGCATCGCTGATGCATCTGCGATGCACTGGCCAGGCGGCGCGATCCTCCGACCCCGCCCACTCGGACTCCGTCCAGGAGACCTCCACAGGCTCGTTCTCGGGACCATCCCGGAGGACGAGGCCGAGGTCGCGGTTTCTGACCCGCCGCCGAAGCGCCGGGCGGCGGGCCTCAGGAAGAAGGCAACGGCGGCCGCCCCGAGGGCCCGAGGCGGCGCGGCGCGGCGCCGGGGCCCGGGCGAGCCCGAGCGCGGGAGCCCGCTGCTCGACGGCCTGGTGGCCGAGCTGGTCGCGGGCAGCGCCGCCGCCGCGCAGGGCGCGACGGACCACGGGCCGCTGGCCGCGGGGCTGATGCTCAGCGCGGACAGCACGAGCGGCGAACACGTGCGCCTTGGTATCGCTCGGGCGTGTGCACTTTGTCTCGGCGGGGACTATCAAGGAGCATCCTGGATCATCCTGGAAAAAAAAAACCAAAAAACCTCGCACGGAACCGACACAAAACACAGGGAATGGATGTCCGAGCGATGGCCAGGCGCACGAGCGGCGCAGCCGTGCCTTCGCAGTCTGGCTGCGGGCGCGCAGCCCCGCGGAGACGCGGTCGCAGGGATGCGCTCCGCGCGGGGCATCCGCGAGAAATCGTCCCGCATGCGCGAGGCCGAGAGGCCCAGCCCGCGATGCCGCGGATACGGGGGGGCCCACTGAGTTGCAGGGGGTGGAGGGTTCACCCCCCCCCCCTCCCTCAAGGGGGGGAGGGAGGTGTCGAACCGGCTCCTCTCACCCTTCGCGAATGACAAATGACGACGAATGTGACGACGACGACGATGACGGGGACGGGGACGGGGACGACGACGACGACGACGACGACGACGACGACCACGACGACGACCATGGCGACGACGACGACGACGACGACGACGACGACGACAGCGACAACTGCGACGCCGACGCCGACGCCGACGCCGACGCCGCTGCCGCCGCCGCCGCCGACGACGACGACGACGACGCAGACGACGACAGGCGACGGTGACGGTGACGCCGACTACGACGACGACGACGACGACGACGACGACGAAGAAGAAGAAGAAGAGGACGACGGCGACGACGACGACAGGCGACGGTGACGGCGACGGAGCACAAGCCAATGGCTTTCAGCTGCTACGGCCGCCTCGGACAAAACAATATCTAGGTAAAGGAAGGTCAAAGTAGAGTAGGGTAGAACATATTTGTGTGGAGTAGAACATGGTAGATGGTAAGGTAAATCTGGACATAAAAGTACCAGAGGAGAGGAGAGTATAGTAGAGTATGACTAGGAGTAGAGTAGCAGTATAGTACAGTAGAGTAGAGTAGTGTGGAGTAGCGTAGGGCAGGCTAGGCTAGGCTAGAGTCGAGCAGGGTAGAGTAGAACAGAGAAGAGTGGAGTAGAGTAGAGTAGATGGTAGAGTAGCGTGGGCTACAATCGAGTGATGTAGAGTAGAAAATACCATATTACATGAGAGTATAGTAGAGTAGAGTGGGCGTATAATAGAGTAGAGTAGAGTAGAGTAGAGCAGAGCAGAGTAGAGTAGGATTAGAGTATAATATAGATTTTGGGTAGGGTAGAGCAGAGTAGAGTAGAGTAGAGCAGAGTACAGCAGGGTAATACTAGAGAGGAGTAGGGTAAGTGGTAAAGTAGAGTCGGGTATGATAGATTAGAGTGGGATCTGGCCCATACCAGTCCACTCGAGTCTACTCCTGTCTAGTCTACTTCAGTAAACTCCAGTCCGCTTCGCGTCAGTCTTCTGATCTATTTGGAAAATGCGCTGGCTGATTCTTGGTGCGTTTTGACATGCTTATGTTGCATGTTTAGCCGTCTGTTGTCCGTCGCCGTTGTCGCCCCTGCAATTCAGAAAGGGGGTGGGTTCGACCCCCCCCTGCAATTCAGGGGGGCGGGCCCGTTCAAACCACCCCCCCTGAGGGGCTCGGTCCGACCCCCCCTCCTTTGGATATGGGGGAGTTCGAACACCCCCCCGTTGGGAGGGGCCTCCTCCTCCTCCTCCACCTCCTCCTCATTGTTATTATTATTGACCCCTCACTCGTCACTCGTGCCCATCCTCGTCTTCCTCCTCCAGATCATCCTTCTCCTCCTCCCCTTCATCCCCCTCCCCTCCTGGTTGGAGAGGCTGGTGACGGGGGCGGGCGGGCTGTTCTCCAGGCGCGCGGGGGGGGCCGCTTCCGACGTGTAGGTAGGTTTGTCCAAGCAGGCGTCCACGGACGCGTTATCTCGAATCTGATGCGCCCACGAGGACAGCAAGCGCCATTCGGACTCGACCGACACGGCCTACAACAGCCTCAGCGAGCTCACGGAGACGGAGGACGGCTGGAGCTCCGGCGGCAGCAGCCCGGGCCATGAGGCCGGCTGGGCGAGCCTGGCGCCGTGGTCGTGGGTCGAGACTGGCGAGGAGGCGCTGCAGCGACACGGCGAGGAGGTGGCCTTGGTCGGCATCGCCTTGGACTCGTGGGGGCCGCGCGGGATGATGGGCCCGAGCGTCGAGAGGAGCCCGCTGCTGCTCGGGCTGTACGAAGCGCCGAGCTGCGCCGCCCGAGCCACGCACCCCCGCGGGCGACGGGGCGCCATGCTTGGCCACATGCCGGGCACGGCGGCAGGCCTCCCGTGAGGGGCAGCCACGGCCGGCGCTTCTCGTGTTGTGATTCGGGGAGGGGGAAGCTCAGTATCCTTCAACCACCCCTATCCCCTATCCCCTTCCCCATCCAGACACCCAACATCTCAGCACCCCAGTTGGAGATACACCCCTCGAAAATCAAGGCGAACAGCCGGTATCCCCATTTATAGGGGGGTAAATCGGCCTGTGAGGCCCAGGCCACGCCGTAGGGGATGGGGGTCGGATGAACGGTGCTCAAGAACAGCATAACCATAGATATTCAAAGCTCCGCGCGGATTTCGGATCTGGGCTAGGCACTCCTGGCGTCGCCTCTGGCGGCGCCTCCGGCGCAGCCCGTAGCGCGCTCCGCGCGCCAGGGAGCGGGGTCCAGCGCCAATCTCAGAAATTCGCTCGGAGTTGTGAAAATTTACGTTTATGCAGTGTGTTCATCCTTCAATTATGCGGCCCTGGCGCGTTTTTTCGCTCCAGTTCCGTTTGGGATCCAGGACCCGTTCCTTTCCTCCTCTGCTTCAACGCTAGGGTGGGTGGGCTCAAGTGGGGATGCATCGATCTAGCACACTGATCGCCGATACGGGCCCGATAGCCCACCCCGCCCATGAACGTCCCGATTCGCTATCGGCGCCCTATCGCCGATCTATCGGAGATGTATCGCCGATGCAAGCTTGATGTTCCCCCCCCTGAACCGGTCCCCCACTAACGTTCCCCCTCTGCTTCCTCCTCTGCTTTGTCTCGCTCCCGAGTGGAGGGATGGCCGTCACCATGACGCTGTTTCGTTGTCTTCCTCCCCCTCCTTCTACGTCACCGTGACGTTGTTCCACCTCCTGAGAATGATGCGGAGGTTGTTAACCGTCGGCCGGAGGCTGGCACTTCTTCATGACCCCGCACATGTTGTGTTATTTTGGCGAAGTCCAACGCCACATGCCCATCGAAGACCAACAACAATGCATGAGCACAAAATTTCAGAGGTCCGCGCGGACCTCCGAAATTGTGTGTTTATCCAGTTGTCGTTGTTCTTCGAACTCATGCGAACGCAGGCTGAGTTCTACAGGGGCGGCCTTCTGCACACGCTGTTGGGGGGCGAAATGCTTCCTCATACAGTGATGTACCAACGCCACCGAGATATTTTTAGCATCATTTTAACTTCAATTGTGTTCATGGCTGCTCACATTCTCCAAACAATCGCGTGCCCGAAGACTGCGCCGAGCTGCTATCTAGGCTACGACAGGATCCGAGCTTTGGATATGCAGACCGGTGACTGGCATGCCAGGGAAGTGTCGCCCAGGACCTCGCACACGAGGTATGAGCTGCAGCAGGAGGAGTTGAGAGGAGGGCGGTTGCACTGCCAGCCCTCCCCGCGGCAGCGCCAGGAGGCCTCTGCTGCCGGCTATACGGCTCCAGCGCGCCCCCCACATGCGGTCCTTCCCTTTTTAACGCTTCCGCCCCTGCGCTGTTGGCGTCGCAGCGCAACGAAAGACCGAGGGACGACGAGGGAGGCGGGCGAGAAGAGAGGCAGGAGAACGCGGCTTCGTGGAGAGCCGCAGCTGCCGGTTCGTCGCCACCCTCTTCAGCTTGCCCTCAGGCTGGAGCCCCGCCGAGCCGGCACCGGGGGCGCGTGGCCGGGGTCTTTGTGGAGAGATGCAGCGCCGTTCCCTCTTGCCCTGCAGGCCAGGCCGCTGGGATGTGGAGATCCGCAGGTGCTGATCGGGCGGGAAGGGTCAAGGGGTAACGTTCGGGGGGGTCAAGGAGGGGGCGCATCGGCCCCCAATCGCCCATTCATCGCCGATAGGGGCCCGATGGCCCACCCCTCCCAGGAGCGTCCAGAGTTGCTATCGGGGCCCATCGCCGATCTGTCGGCGATGCATCGCCGATTCAAACTCGATGCGTCCCCCCCGAGCCCGTCCCCCGAACGCTCCTCTCACAGGGGGGGGGCCTCTGGGTGGGGCGCGAAGTCCGCCGCATGCAGCTGGTTTCGGCTCCGCCGCCGGGGGCGCTCCTCGGTACACGGGCGCCTGCGACGCCCGGAGGCGTCAGGAAGGCCAGCCGCGTGAGCTGATGGCCGAGCAGTGGCGGAGCGTCCTGGCGTGTGTCCATAGGCCTGCCAAACAATGTTCTAAGAACCTTTTGTGGTTTCCAGGAAATGTTCTTGGAACATTTCTGGCTGGGACTGTCTTGTTCTAACACATCGGGCTTATGTTCTAAGAACATTGCTTTTGCTATTCGAATGTTGCTTGGCTTCTAGGAACATGTCGTGGTAGGCCCATAGGAATGCTGGGACGGTCGGCCCCTGCTCAAGATGACGTGTCAACCCCGTTTGCTATCCGCCCTTTCCGACCGACCCGAACGGTACCCCATCTGGAGATCGTTTTCTTATTCATTGGCGGGCCGCCGCCCCCCCCCCCCCCATGAAGTAGATCTTGGCTGTTTTGGGCGCCTGTTTCGAGCAGGTGGAGTCTCTCCCCCATAGGACGCACTGCTGCAAGCAGTCGCGTTAAGCAGGGGTCCGGGGCCAGACCCCCCCTCCTCGCCCCCCCGTCGGCCCAATGTCGAAACGCAGAATGAGAAAACGCTCGCAATGCCGAAGGAGAAAACGCTCACCTGGGTCGATGGTGCACGAAATGCAAACGCCTTGCGTCACTCCAACTGCTGACGGCGTGCTGGGTCGGCCAGGGAGAGGCGTCACTCGGTGTCGACTGTCTGTCGGCGTCCATTGGGTGGCGCCAACAGTTGCCACGCTGATCGGCCTGCCTGTCACAAGCATGTCGACTTTTCGCTATGGTCAATGGATGATTTCGATCAGATGCCACCAGACGCAGCGAATTGTATTTTGACATATGGCGTTGTCAAGGCATTCCCCAAGGCCAAGTGGCAGCGGGGGGTCTAATGCAAGATGCCCGTTCTCTGGGTGATCCTGGCACCTTGTTCACAGGTGAACCTTTGATTACACACGCTGGGTCGGGTATTGGAAGATATTTGATCTTCCATGCTCTTCCTCCCGCGCATAACGCCTCAGCTACCTGCGCGGGACAGGATGTGTTCCAGGATTGGAGTTGGATTGGAGGGGAGTGAATTGGAACTTCTAAGGTCTTCAAGGCTCCAAGTTTTCTGTTTCTGGTCTACTGACGCCCGGGACCTGCGCACTCCACATAGCAATTGACTAGTTGGAGGTGTTCCTTGGCTGCGTTTGTTTTTTATGATTCAGGCGCCGCTGACGTCGCGTGCCTAACTCGATGTATAGATGGATGGAGAGCAGGAGGAGGAGGAGGAGGAGGAGGAATGAACGCGAGGTGTGCCTTCTGCACTGTCAGCGCCTGCGAGCTTTCTGCACGCGCGCGCGCCCGGGACCCGCGGCGCCCCGCGCGACGCCCGCGGCTCAGAAGCCATCACACCTTCTGAGAGGCCGTCACCGTCTTCGGATAAGGCTCAGGGAACTCCTCAGAAGCCGCGAGGGTGTCCGAGAAGCCCCGCCGCTTTTGAGAAAGCCTGCCCCCGAAGGAGTCGATGCAGAGGAAGAGGGATCGGGGAACATTTAGGCTACAGTTCGCCAGGACTCGGGTTCGCCGACGATATGTGGCCGTGCTTAGCATCTCGTTCACCTCTGCGATGGAGGCTGGGGAGGAGGAGAGGGAGGAGAAGCAGGAGCGGGAGGAAGATGGAATAGGCTATGATCCCTTCTCTCGGGGAAGCGTAAGACTCGAGTTCGCCGTGACTCGGGGTTGTCGACGATGTTTGATGGGCCGGTGCTGAATTCTTCATGTTTTGCGTATCCCCACTAGCCCAGTCAGAAACGTTGCCTATGAGAGCTGACGGAAAACGGGAGGAAGAGACACATACAGTGAAACGAAGCGGGCAACTATGATGGACAGAAAGGTCTTTGGGAACAAGGGGGTTGCATTGGAGGGCCATCCTTGGTGCCCGCTGGAGGGCGAGGGGAAGAACAGGAGGAGGAGTAGGAGGAGGCAAACAGCCTCTTGGGGACATCGTGGGCCGCTCTTGGGGCACTCTTGGGGCACTCTTGGGGCCGTCTTGGGGCCCTCTTGGAGCCCTCTTGGGGCCCTCTTGGGAGCCCTGGAGGGTCTCTTGCGGCCATCTTAGAGGCTATCGATCAAAGAAGTAAGGGGTCCCGATTTGCCTCCACTCTTCTGGGGCCTTCATAGTCGCCTTGGGGGCCCTCTTGGGGCGCTCTTAGGGCAGTCCTGGGGGTCTCTTGGGCCCCTCTTGTGGCTCTCTTGTGGCTCTCTTGGGCTATCTTCTTGGGGCCATCTTGAAGCCTCAATATCGCATCTAAAGCGAAAATGCGAGAAAGTAAATATCATTGATTTGCCTTAGGCATTTGAAGAATTCACGCTTCTTGGGGGGCCTGAGGGGGCTCCGAGAGCACTTGGGGCCGTATTGGAGCGGTCTTTCGGGCTTCTTGGAACATGTTGGAAGTCATATTGAGACATTTCGGTTATGTCGGGTCATCAAGGAGGCCATCTTGGAGCATCGAATGTCCTCTTGAGGCATATTTGAGCCATCTTGGGCACTGACTCATCGGGTCGGCCACCTACGCCCAAAGAGCTGGCGGGACTTTGACGGTCCTGCTTTCGAGGGATGTTTGCAGCGGGAGCTCGCGTCAGATCTCAGGCTGGGTCGTGCCATTCTCTGGGCGGCCCCGTAGTGCCAATCCCCGTCCCCCGAACCCGAGCCGCCCGTCTCCCCCCGGGGGAGGAGGCGCAGGAATTGCGCACCACACGCCCCGGGGGGACCGACCGCTCCCCGCGGCGCATGTCCCGCCGAAGCTTCGAGCGGACCGCCGCGGCGCCAGAAGCGCGCCTCGGCCGCCGTGGTGCAGCGGCGGCGCCTCCGCGCCGCCTC